AATATCATGGGATGGATTCATTGTGAGCAACCTTATTTTTCCCAAGTGCTCTGTTAACAGAGCCTGATTATAATCTACTACCACATTTCAACTATAAAGTGGGGCTAATTTTTAAAAAAGAAAAAAATAAAATAAATAATATACTACTACAGTGATTAATTGCATTCAACTGTGCATTGAAAGGTTAATTTGGTAATTATCATTGAGGTAAAACTGAGATCCACAGGAAGATTAAAAATAGCAAATCCAGCCAGGCCCGGTGGCTCACACCTGTAATCCTAGCACTTCGGGAGGCCGAAGTGGGTGGATCACTTGAGGTCAGTAGTTCGAGGCCAACCTGGCCAACATGGTGAAACCCCATCTCTACGAAAAATATAAAAATTAGCCAGGCATGGTGGCAGGTGCTTGTAGTCCTAGCTACTCAGGAGGCTGAGGCAGGAGAATCGCTGGAACTCAGGAGGCAGAGGTTGCAGTGAGCCAAGACTGAGCCTCTACATTCCAGCCTGGGCAACAGAGCAAGACTCCATCTCAAAAAAAAAAAAATAGCAAATTCTCAAAATCATATTAACAAAATCTCTTATTTTACTTATGAAGTATATTTAAAGATTACTACACTGATGTTTCTATTTGACATTTTCCAGGAAGAACTATGTATGGAAGAAATAAAATATCAATAGCTGGCCAGTAATTAACGTTGTGTACTTTAAAATAAGGATCTTTTATCTTGCATTCATAGACAAAAAGGTATTATCTTAATTAAAATTAAAAGAAATGTAAATATAGGACCTTTTCTCAGTCTGTAAAATAAAAAGAAATGTGAATGGAGTTTGAAAATAATTCTATAGTTATATAGCCTATTTTTTAATGGATTTTCTTCTTGAAAATCAATATACTATATTCATGAAATGGCCTGGGTGTTTTTGTTTTTGTTTTTTTTAAATAGTAGAGATGAGGTCTCCCAGTGTTGTCCAGGTTGGTTTCATACTCCTGAGCTCAAATGAAACTCCTGCCTCAGCCTCCCAAAGTGTTGGGATTACAGACATGAGCCACCCTGCCCGGCCATCAGATGGCCTTTGTTCAAAATAAAGCTTGCTTTGAGAAGCATGGTGCAGGCATGCCTCCTTTTATTGCACTATGCTTTATTATACTCTGCAAATATTGTATTTTTTATGAATTAAAGATTTGTGCTAACCCTGCATGGAGCAAATCTGTTAGCACCATTTTTCCAACAGCATGTGCTCACTTCAGGGCTCTTGATCTTTGATGTTAATGTTGTAATTGTTTGAGGGCACCATAATCCTTCCCCATATAAGATGGCAAACTTAATAAATGTTGAGTGTCTTCTGACAGCTCCGCCAACCAGCCATCACCCCATCTCTTTGCTTCTCCTTGAGCTTGCCTATTCCCTGAGACACAACAATATTGAAATTAAGCTAGTTAATAACCCTACAGTGGCCGGGCATGGTGGCTCATGCACCTAGCGCTTTGGGAAGCCAAGGTGGGCGGATTGCCTGAGTTCGAGAGTTCGAGACCAGCCTGAGCAACACAGTGAAATCCCATCTCTACTAAAATACGAAAGAAATTAGCCGGACGTGGCAGCTCGTGCCTGTAGTCCCAGCACCTCAGGAGGCTGAGGCAGGAGAGTTCCTTGAACCCGGGAGGCAGAAGTTGCAGTGAGCTGAGATCGCACCACTGCACTCCAGCCTGGGTGGCAGAGCAAGACTCCATCTCTACAAAAAGATAAAATAAATAACCCTACAGTGGCCTGCAAGTATTCAAGTGAAAGCAAGAGTCACATATCTCTCTCATTTTTTTAAATCTTTTATCTAAAATGTGTTATATTGAGATGGTTTTCCACTCATCTTGATTCACAGTGCTCTTAGTGCTGCTTCCTCCTGAAGGAACATCCTTCCATAAGCCTTGCTTTTTCTCCTGTAGGCTGGCAGAGGACAGTGGAACACCCAACACACAAAACTACTGTTTGTGCATGAGTAAAGACCATGGTGATTTTATAGCGTCCTGGGCACTTCACATCCATGAAGTAGGAATTGGTGCTCTGCACCAGGCATTTCTTCTTGTGTTTCCTCTTCTCTTCTGGAGAGGGATGAAGGAGATTTTTTGCAAGAAGTGTGTTCTCATGGGTAGGTTGTCACCACTGGAAACTCATTTTATTTTATTTATTTTATTTTATTTTATTTTATTTTAAGACTGAGTTTTGCTCTGTCGCCCAGGCTGGAGTTCAGTGGTGCGACCTCAGCTCACTGCAACCTCCACCTCCGGGTTCAGGGATTCTCCTGTCTCACCCCCAAGTACCTGGGATTTCAGGTGTGTGCCACCACACCCAGCTAAATTTTTTATTTTTGTAGAGACAGAGTTTTAGCATGTTGGCCAGGCTGGTCTCAAACTCCTGACCTCAAGTGATCCCTTTGCCTTGGCCTTCCAAAGTGCTGGGATTACAGGCGTGAGCCACTGCACCTGCAAAAAAATTGGAATCAATTTTTTAAATAAATGAATACAAAGGATCATATCCTTGAAGAGAAACTGTGGAAGGTGCCTGTGGAATGTATAAATGCTGAAGACTTTAGTGTATTTAGGTTGTTGCCAGGCTGGAGTGCAGTGGCACAGTCTCAGCTCACTGCAACTTCCCACCTCCCAGGTTCCAAGCGATTCTCCTGCCTCAGCCTCCCAAGTAGCTGGGATTACAGGCATCCACTACCATGCCTAATTTTTGTTATTATTAGTAGAGACAAGGTTTCACCCATGTTGGCCAAGCTGGTCTCAAACTCCTGACCTTAGGTGATCTGCCTGCCTTGGCCTCCCAAAGTGCTGGGATTACAGGCGTGAGCCACCTGCCCAGCCAGGAGTTTTAACATTGCAACTTGAAGTGGAAAAATTCAGTAACTGTGAAGAATTATCCAACCTTACCCACCCAGGAAACAAAATCAAGATCAGAAAATTCACTTCTCTGATTTACTACAGCTTATTCTTTTTTTATTCTCCTACTAATATTTTGAAACCATTTATTATTATACAGGATTTGCCACAAATAATGATAGATGTGATCCCACTATGCAGAAGTCTAAATGGAATGAAGTTTTTTTTATTGTTTTTTTTTTTTTTTCTTTTTGAGACAAAGTCTTGCTCTGTCACCCAAGCTGGACTGCAACCAGGCAATCTGGGCTCACTGCAACCTCACCTCCCAAGTTCAAGTGATTCCTCCTGCCTCAGCCTCCCAAGTAGCCGGGATTACAGTCATGTATCCACAATGCCCAGCTAATTTTTTGTATTTTTAGTAGATACAGGTTTCACCTGTTTGGCCAGACTGGTTCTTGAGCCCTGTCCCCCAAGTGATTCTCCCTCTGCGGCTCCCAAAGTGCCTGGAATTACACGCATGAGCCCACCGTGCCCAGCCAAACCTTTATTTTATTTATTTAATTTATTTATTGTTTGAAAGGAAGTAGGATAGGGAGTCTTGGTGGATGGATGTGAAATATGAGGAAAAAGAAACCATCAAGAAAGACTCCTCAGAGGCTGGCATAGTGTTCATCCCTGTAATCCCAGCACTTCGGGAGGCTGAGGCGGCCAGATCACTTGATGTCCAGAAGTTCGAGATCAGCCTGACCAACATGGCAAAACACCACCAATCTCTGCAAAAAATACAAATTAGCCGAGCATAGTGACACACGCCAGTTGTAATCCCAGCTACTCAGGAGGCTGAGGCTGGAGAATGCTTGAACCCAGAAGGCGGAGGTTGCCAATGAGCCGAGATCACCCCACTGCATCCAGCCTGGGCAACAGAGCAAGACTCTGTCTCAACAAGAAGAAAAAAAAAAAAAGACTCACCTGGTGCTGTTAAAAAACTGTGTGTGTTGTGTGTGTGTGTGTTGTGTGTGTAGTAGATAAACATGTAATGCACTTTTCAGTTATGGTTTTACTTGGCACTGATCTTTTAAAAGCAAAATGTGGCCTAGGTTCTTTAATAGATAAATTGTAAGAAAAAAATGAATGGAAGGGAATTTACAGATTTAAAGAGACACAAAAGACAAACGAAAAAATTTTTAATGGCCGAGACTAAACTGAAGTGTCTAGGGATGTACATTTGGGTGATGTAACTATAAATAAAAGTGAGTACGTGATTACTATACACCAAAACAAGGTTAATGTTTATTTGAGGGGGGAGGAAGGGAGCTGTGATAGGACTAGGAGCGTAAAGGGTCTTCTGGCAAGGCTGGCAATGTTCTATTTCTTGACCTAGATGGTTATTAGAATGACTCATGAGGCCAGGCGCAGTGGCTCACGCCTGTAATCCCAGCACTTTGGGAGGCCAAGGCGGATGGATCACAAGGTCAGGAGTTCAAGACCAGCCTGGCCAAGACAGTGAAACTCCATCTCTAATAAAAAATACAAAAATTAGCCAGGTGTGGTGGCAGACGCCTGTAACCCCAGCTACTCGGGAGGCAGAGGCAGGAGAATCCCTTGAACCCAGGAGGCAGAGGTTGCAGTGAGCTGAGATCGCACCCCTGTACTCCAGCCTGAGCGAGAGTAAGACTCTGTCTCAAAAAAAAAAAAAAAAGAATGATTCATTAAGCTATGTGACTTATGTGGTTTTCTGCATCTGTGTTTTATCGTAAAAAATATTTTTAAAAAATAAATGAGAATGGAAGATGAAAATGTTCAGTAGGGAGAATCCATAGGCTAACAGGAAGGCTTGTCTTCTCCCACAACCCAAATCCCAGAGAAACAGTCAAGATTACCCGAAGCAGACAGGATTATGGCAAGCCTTATTTCCCTCTGAGACAGACTCTTAGGGACTGCCTTGGACTGAACCCCATAATCCTTCTGAAAGCCAGACTTATTTGCTGTAATTATATAAAAAACTTAACAACATATTGCTATGCATTTCCTTTGCTTTCAAGTGGTGGTCACTGGCTGTGATGAATGTGTATGTTTTGTTTTTTCCTCTCACCATAATTAATCCTGTATCTTCTTATTCCTTCCAGAATGGGTTTTTATCTTCATTGCCTTATTTAGGCTCTTGGTTATGTATGATCCTGTCTGGTCAAGCTGCTGACAACTTAAGGGCAAAATGGAATTTTTCAACTTTATGTGTTCGCAGAATTTTTAGCCTTATAGGTAAGCGAAACAAATCAGGTTTTGTTTTGGTTTACAGTTATTTACCATGTTTACAGTTATTGGAGATAGGAAAACAAAGTGTGTTTCCCACTTTTGCACACAGTTAACACAATGCTTAACACAGAACACTTCGCTCTGATCACCAAAATGTTTGTGTGGATTTCTCCCTACACATAACCAGTTCTGCAGCGGACACTAGCGAGGTGTCCTGCAATTCAGTTCTGACACAGTCCAGCTGGAGGTAGCATCACATCCTACAGGTTGAGGGCTCCGTTCTTCGGATACCAATCACAAGTCCCAGCTTGTGACCTCTGCTTCTGACTGACCGGCTATAAATCAGGGTTCCCATGACTCTCTTGTCAGGTTCAGCTAATCTGCTAGAGCATCTCACAGAACTCAGAGAAACACTTTATTTATGTTTACCCACTTATTATAAAGGGTATTACAAAGGATATAGATGAGCAGCCAGATGGAAAGCTGCATAGGGCAACATATGTGGGACCGAATAGGGAGTTTTCATGCCCTCTCCTGGAACACCACCCTCCAAGAACCCCGACGTCAAAAGTTCATCCAAACCGTGTCCTTTTTAGTTTGTATGGAGACTTCATTAAGTGAGTGTGATTGATTAAATCATTGGCCATTGGTGACTGACTCACCCTTCAACCCCTCTCCCCTCTCTGGAGTTTGGGGGTAGTGCCAGAAGTCCCAGACCTCTAATCCAGCCACCATCCTGAAGCTGTATGGGGACCCCCAACCACCAGTTGTCTCGTTAGCATACAAAAGATACTGTTACCACTCCAGAAATTCCAAAAGTTTTAGGAGCTGTGTGCCAAAAACCAGGGGCAGAGACCAAATATATATTTCTTTTTTAAAACAATGTTTTAATAGAAATGGGGTCTTGCTATGTTGCCCAGTCTGGCCTTGAATTCCTGGCCTCAAGAGATCTTCCTGCCTCAGCATCCCAAAATGTTGGGATTACAGACGTGAGCCACCACACTGGCCATATTTCTTTTCTTTCCTTTTTTTTCTTTTTTTTTTTTTTTTGACAGGGGATCACTCTTAGCCCAGGCTGGAGTGTGGTGGCATGATCTTAACTCACTGCAGCCTCAACTTCCTCAGCCTCAGGTGATCCTCCCACCTCAGCCTCCTGAGTAGCTAGGACTACAGGCATGCACCACCATACCCAGCTAATTTTTTAATTTTTACTAAAGACGGAGTTTCAACATGTTGTCCAGGCTGGTCTGTAACTCCTAAATTCAAGCTATCTGCCTGTCTTGGCCTCCCAAAGTGCTGGGACTACAGGAGTGAGCCACCACACCCAGCCCCAGCCATTTTGTTTAATTTTTTTCTTTAATGGGACAAGGCCTCGCTTTATTGCCCACATTGGCCTTGAACTCCTGGCCTTAAGCAATCCTGCTGCTTCAGCCTCCCAAAGTGCTAGGATTACAGGTGTGAGCCACCACGCCCAGCCCCCAGCCATATTTTTTTTAATCACAGTATCACAACAGTTCAAGACAAAATAAAAATGATAATATTAGCCATTTATTTTGTTCACATAACAAAACACTACGATGCATTTAAATGCATTTCTTTACAATATGTTTCTTTTTGAATCATACATTTTGAGGATTAAGGTTTATAATATTTGCCGGGTGCAGTGGCTCATGCCTGTAATCCTAGCACTTTAGGAGGCTGAGGCAAGCAGATCACAAGGTCAGGAGTTCAAGACCAGGTTTCACATGGTGAAACCCCATCTACTAAAAATACAAAAATCAGCCGGGTGTGGTGGTGAGTGCCTGTAATCCCAGCTACCTGGGAGGCTGAAGCAGGAGAATTGCTTGAACCCAGGAGGCAGAGATTGCAGTGAGCTATCACACCACTGCACTCCAGCCTGGGCAACAGAGTGAGATCCTGTCTCAAAAAAAAAAAAAAGATTTATAATATCCTATTATCTCCACCATTGCTTATAATTATTTTTAAAATGGCTTGCTGTGCCAAACATCACCCCTCACAATTTTGTAAATCACTGTGCTTTCAGCTCAGACTTTGCAATGAAGTTTTTATATCAACTTTAGACAAGATGTAATGAAAGAATTTTTAAGCCTCCATCCCTTTTCTAAGTGAATTCATTTTAAGTTTCAATCCAAAAATATTTACTAGCATTATTATATCAAATAAGGAGCTATAAATCAAATAAACCATAAATAATCATGTGTTTCAGACTCTACTTTCAGAAAGGTAATTTTTTTTTTTTTTTTGAGACAGGGTCTTGCTCTGTTGCCCAGGATGGACAACCATGGCTCACTGCAGCCTCAACCTCCTAGGCTCAAGCAATTCTCCTATCTCAGCCTCCTGAGCAGCTGGGACTACATACGGGTCACGACACAGCATCCGGCTAATTATTTTTTATTTTTTGTAGAGACATAGTTTTACCATGTTGCTCAGGTTACTCACAAATTCCTCGGCTCAAGCAGTCCTCCCACCTCAACCTCCCAAAGTGCTGGAATTACAGGCGTGAGCCACTGTGCCCGGCCTAGAAAGATAACTTTTAAATCTATGTAATTAGTTGGGCGTGATGGTATGTATCTGTAGTTCCAGCTACTCCAGAGGCTAAGGTGAGAAAATTTCTTGAGCCTAGTTGTTTGAGGCTGCAGAGAGCTATGATCACAACACTGCACTCCAACCTAGGCAACAGAGCAATACCCTGTCTCTAAAAATAGTTAGAAAAAATTGTACATAAAAATAAAACTATCTAAGACAATCATTTAACTTTTTTAAGGTCCCCAGTAGAGATCCTGGAAGTCTCGGTGACTATACTTCAGTAATTACATAATAAAAAGACTGGCTGGGCTCGGTGGCTCTTGCCTGTAATCCCAGCACTTTGAGAGGTGGAGGTGGGCGGATACTTGAGGTCAGGAGTTCGAAACCAGGCTGGCTAACATGGTGAAACTCCATCTCTACTAAAAATACAAAAATTAGCCTGGTGTGGTGGTGTGTGGCTGTAATCCCAGCTACTCAGGAAGCTGAGGCAGGAGAATTGCTTGAACCCAGAGGCAGAGGTTGCAGTGAGCCAAGATTGTGCCACTGCACTCCAGTCTGAGCAAAAAGAGTGGAAAAAAAAAATTAGCCAGGCATGGTGGCACACGCCTGTAATCCCAGCTACTCGGGAGGCTGAGGCACAAGACTTGCTTGAACCTGGGAGGCGGAGGTTGCAGTGAGCTGAGATTGCGCCATTGCACTCCAGCCTGGGTAACAGAATGAGAGCCTATTTCAAAATAAATAAATAAAGGAAATGAAATGAAATTAAATCAGACATGGTGGTGTGCACCTGTAGTGCCAGCTACTCAAGAAGCCAAGGCAGAAAGGCAGAGGATCACTTGAGCCTGGAAAGTCAAGGCTGCAGTAAGCCATGATCGTACCACTGCACTCCAGCCTGATGACAGAGTGAGACCCTGTCTCAAAAAAACAAGAAAATAAATAAATAATAAATTTAATTGAAATTTTTTTTAAAAGTTCCTCAGTTGCAGTATATACAAATACAACATTTCCATCATCACAGAGAGCTATTGGATAGCACTGCTATAGACACAGAAAAACTGACAGCCCACTCATTAAGTCCCTTATTGTATTTTACGCTTAACTGCCTGTAATGACCAATGTGTATTCTTATCAGTTGTTAATACTAGGGAGGATTCCTGCAGATTATGTGGGGAAGAAAAAAAAAAAACCAAAGCCAGACATGGTGGCCCACACCTGTAATCCTGGCACTTTGGGAAGCCAAGGTGGGGGGATCACTTGAGGTCAGGAGTTCGAGAACAGCCTGGCCAACATGGTGAAATACCGGCTCTACTAAAAATACAAAAATTAGCTGGGTGTGGTGGCCCAGGCCTGTAATTCCAGCTATTCAGGAGGCTGAGGCAGGAGAATCACTTGAACCCAGATCACGCCACTACACTCCAGCTTGGGCGACCAGAGCAAGACTCCGTTCAAAAAAAAAAAAAAAAAAAGAGAGAGAGAGGAGAGAGAATGAAGACAGGGATTTTTAAAATCTTTTAAGACACAAGGTCTCTAGCCAGGCGCGGTAGCTCACGCCTGTAATCCCAGCACTTTGGGAGGCCGAGGCATGCAGATCACGAGGTCAGGAGATTGCGACCATCCTGGCTAACGTGGTGAAACCTCATCTCTACCAAAAAAAAAAAAAAAAAAATTAGCCAGGCGTGGTGGCGGGTGCCTGTAGTCCCAGCTACTCAGGAGGCTGAGGTGGGAGAATGGCATGAACCTGGGAGGTGGAGCTTGCAGTGAGACGAGATCATGCCACTGCTCTCCAGCCTGGGCGACAGAGCAAGACTCCATCTCAAAAAAAAAAAAAGAGACAAGGTCTTGCTCTGACAACCCAGGCTGGAGTGCAGTGGTGCCATCATAGCTCACTGTAACCTTGAACTTCTGGGCGCAAGCAATCCTTCCGCCTCAGCCTCCTGAGCAGCCAGGACTACAGGTGTGCACCACCATGCCTGGTGAATTTTGTTTTTAATATTTCGTAGAGACAAGGTTTTGCTGTGTTGCCCAGACTGGCCTCAAACTCCTGGCCTCAAGTGATTCTCCCACCTCAGCCTCCTAAAGTGCTGAGATTACAGGGGTGAGCTGCCCCACCCAGGCAAGATGGAGTCTTTTTCTAACCTCATCCAATAGAGTCTATTATTTAGTTTATGTCCTTTGGTTATATGTATTTTAAATCACATTCTGTTGTCAGCTATTGCTTCTCTCTAGAAACGTATTTTTAAGTTGTCCTTGTCTTGTTCTTCTCTAACACCATGGAATTTTAGCTGAGTTTTGGCCACACGTAGATTTAATAACATTGCATAATGAGATTTTCCTTTTATAGTATATTAGTTGTATTACGCCCATGTTTTCCAGCAGTTTTGTTTTGTTTTTCCATGAAATCTGTTAGTCTTCCAGGCAATATAGTGTTTCTACAGTAGGTGGCAGCAATTTCAAATTTCAGACTTATACCATATTAAGGCAGAGCAAATATTAATGCTGGGTATTTTTCCCTTTTATAACTTTTTAACTCTAGGAATGATTGGACCTGCAGTATTCCTGGTAGCTGCTGGCTTCATTGGCTGTGATTATTCTTTGGCCGTTGCTTTCCTAACTATATCAACAACACTGGGAGGCTTTTGCTCTTCTGGATTTAGCATTAACCATCTGGATATTGCTCCTTCGTGAGTACTAATATAAAGATTTGCTGTGATTGACTTTAAATTGTATTTTTAAAAATCCTGATAAAAGGCCAGACACGGTGACTCACGCCTGTAATCCCACCACTTTGGGAGGCCGAGGTGGGCGGATCACCTGAGGTCAGGAGTTTGAGACCAACCTGGTCAACATGGCGAAGCCCTATCTCTACTAAAAATACAAAAATTAGCCAGGCATGGTGGCGGGCACCTGTAATCCCAGCTACTCAGGAGGCTGAGGCAGGAGAATCGCGTGAACCCAGGAGGCAGAGGTTGCAGTGAGCCGAGATCGCATCATTGTACTTCAGCCTGGACAACAAGAGCAAGACTCCGTCTAAAAAAAAAAAAAAAAAAAAACCCTGATAAAATAGATATAACATAAAACTTAACATTTTTAAGTATACAGTTCTGTGGCATTAAGTGTTCACATTGTTACATAACTAGCACCACCAACAATCTGTAGAACAATTTCACCTTCTCAACAGAAACCGTACCCATTACACACTATCTCCCATTTCTCCCTTTTCCCAGGCCCTGACAACCAATATTCTGCTTTCTGCCTCTATGGATTTTACTACTATAGGAATGACTTTAAATTCTTTACAAGATTTTAATTTACACAATAATTAAAGCAGGATGTTGTTTCTAAATTTAAACTTTTAACTGTCATCACCTCTGTCCACAGTGCTCTCATTAGAACATTGCAATAACTCATTGTAACTGTGTCTGTTCACCCAGCTAGACTAGGAACTCTGTGAAGGCAGAAACTCCCTTATTGTCCGCAGGGCTCACCATAGCACTTGGCATGCAGTAGGCATTTTGTCAGATGAATGAATGTCAAAGAGTAGACCAATTGATTTGTCTAACTGTATTACCTATGTGCAAATATATTTGTGTAGCACTTGATAGTTTACACATCACTTTCATAAACACTATCCATTTTACCCTTAAAGCATGCCTATAAAGTATTTTTGCCCTATTTGAATGCTAAAGAAACTTAAGAGAAGTGATTTATCTTACAGCACACAACTAATATAATAAATGATAGAGCCAAAACTTGAACCTAAAATTTTTACTTTTAAGCCCAAAATTCTTTCTACAGCTACCTCTCTGGAAACATTCTTTGAGCCACATACTTCTAGAACCATTTTGTGCCAGTTGACAAGGTAAATAAGGGAGCTGTGTAAATATTTTAACCCAAAAGTTTTAATACACTTTATTTGTAAAAATAATGGATATGAATTTATTTTGGAGAAAAGACAGATGGACTCTTACACTCTTTTCACTACCTCAAAATCTTCACACCCGGATTGCTACAGAATCTTCTGATTTCTATGAATCCTCAGCCTCCTATCCCTTCAATAAATACTCTTAAGATAAGCTCCACTCTGTCACCCAGGCTAGAGTGCAGTGATGCCATTGTAGTTTACTGTAGCCTTGAACTCCTGGGATCAAGTAATACTTCCTGCTCAGCTTCCTGAGTTGCTGGGACTACAGGCACACATCACCATGCCTGGTTCATTTTTCAAAAAATACTTTGTGGAGATGGGGTCTCCCTGTCTTGTCCAGGGTGGTCTCAGTCTCCTGGCCTCAAGTGATCTTCCCACCTCAGCCCCCGAAAAGTGCTAGGATTACAGGCGTGAGCCACAGCGCCTGGCCAAGACTTGAGGTTTTGTCAAGCCTAGAGTTGACCAACAGTCAAAGGGATATGGGAATTGAGAGTTCGAGAAATAGTTCTAGGCTATGTTATCACTTAGGATGTTTTTAGTTGAAGTATAGAAATTCTAACTCAAACTGGGCTGAACAGCATAATCTATTGATTCACTTCATTGTATCCAGAGATAATAGGCTTCAGGCAAGAGCTGATATCCAGCTGCCTACTAATATCACCATAGATTGTTTCTTTCTCACTCTCTGTCTTTTACAGTAGTAGTTTTATCCTAAGACTGGGTCTGCTTATAAAATCACACAATGAAATGATTGCCAGCAACAATCAGGACTACATGCTTCTTCATTCACATCAAGCAGAAAGAAAAAGATCTTTTCCTCTCTCAACCATGGAAATAAGTCCTGGGCTTCATTTTGGTTGACCCAAACTGAGTCACATGAACCAACCCCAATGGCCAAGAGAATGTCATGTGACTTTAGGAAAATCAGCACCTACCCCAAAAGTTAGAGGTCAAAGGGTCAGTGCCCCTCAGACGTCATTATTGCTACACAGATGGAGGTGGAGAGTGGGAATGGATGCTGAGGAATCCATCGGTAACCTCCACTATAACACATGAAGATGTGAATAAACATGAGTCATTTTTGAGCCAGGCGCGGTGGCTCACGCCTGTAATCCCAACACTTTGGGAGGCTGAGGCAGGTGGATCACCTGAGGTCAGGAGTTCGAGATCAGCCTGGCCAACATGATGAAATCCTGTCTCTACTAAAAATACAAAAATTAGCTGGGCATGGTAGCACACACCTATAATCCCAGCTACTCAGGAGGCTGAGGCAGGAGAATTGCTTGAACCTGGGAGGTGGAGTTTGCTGTGAGCCGAGATTGCGCCACTGTGTTCCAGCCTGGGTGACAAAGTGAGACTCCATCTCAAAAAAAAAAAAATTATAAGGAACATAAAATTGGTTCAGCAGCCATCCAGCCAGAAGAAGGTGGTAAGTCACTCACTCCATTTAATAAATCTGAAAGGTAGCTTAGGATTCATCAGGTTCCTGAAGTCTTGTCAGAATCTCTGGAATCTGATGAGGGCCCCCAACCCTGCTCTCTTGAACTAGCAATGAAAGAAAATTGGATCATCAGATAAAAATTGGAGCTCTGATTGGCCAGGTGCAATGGCTCATGCCTGTTATCCCATCATTTTGGGAGACCAAGGCGGGCAGATCACCTGAGGTCAGGAGTTCAAGACCAGCCTGGCCAACATGGTGAAACTCTGTCTCTACTAAAAATACAAAATTAGCCAGGTGGGTTGGTAGGACCTGTAATCCCAGCTACTTGGAAGGATGAGGCAGAAAAGCACTTGAACCTGGGAGGTGGAGGTTGCGGTGAGCCATGGCACTCCAGCCTGGGTAATAAGAGTGAAACTCCATCTCAAAAAAAAGAAAGAAAATTAGCACTATTGTCAAAGGATGAAAATAGAAAAAAAAAACAAATATCCATGGTACCTACCTAGTAAGATCATTGTGAAGATTAAATAGAGCACACACAGAACACTTTGCTCATAATGCAATAAATGTATTTGCATATAATGCAATAAATGTAATTGTTTTCTGGCTAACTTTGAGTCAGATGTGGTGACCAGGGTCACAGATCAATCCAAGTAAAATATTAAAGTGATGATTGGTGTGCTTTCAGAAAGGAAAATGCTGACCACTAAAGAGCCACCACTGGGTCACTAAGAGCCAAAATGGCAAAACGGTCTAATTTCTCAATGTAATTTTTAGCCTAATAGAATAAAGAAAATATAGTAGATTTGATATGTCAGGACTTCAGCCAGGTCTCCTATGATAGATACCCTTTTGGACAAGGTGGAGAAAGATGAATTGGATGTACAATTAGATAAATTTGTCACTACTAAATTTCAGTGTAATAGCATGCTAATTAACGGATCTAGTCATTGAGAAACACTGTGCCAGGCACTGTACCAGATGTTGAAGACACAAACATGAAAGTAACATGATTCCTGCTGGCATCTGTGTAAGCTTAAGCTGGCCTGGAGGATGGTGCTTCATGTCATGAAGTATAATGCTGGACAGGCAGCAGGTGGAATCCTGTGCCTGAGCTTCAACCATCAGGTGGATGGTTGAAGTCTACATCTTAAAGACCCAGGTCCAACCCTGAAATCTTATGAGTCTTATAAGCCAAAAAAGACATTTATCTAGATATCATAAGAAGCTAAACAGTTTTAGTAACATAAATGATGCCAGCAAATAGTTGTACCAGTTAGGAGAATGATAAGCAAGTGCCTTTATGCCTCAGATAATGAGGACTGCTGTACTTGCTCTCAGCTGACTGAGACACAACTATTCAAATGGAAGTAGGCCGGGCGTGGCGGCTCACGCCTGTAATCCCCGCACTTTGGGAGGCTGAGGCAGGTGGATCGTTTGAGGTCAGGAGCTCCAGACCAGCCTAGCCAACATGGTGAAACCCCATCTCTACTAAAACTAAAAAATTATCTAGGTGTGGTGGTGGGCAACTATAATCCCAGCTACTCAGGAAGCTGAAGCATGAGAATTGCTTGAACCTGGTAGTTCGGAGGTTGCAGTGAGCAGAGATTGCGCTACTGCACTCCAGCCTGGGCTACAGAGCAAACCTCAGTCTCAAAAAAATAAAATAAATAAATAAATCTCATCAAAGTCAAAAGTATTATTATTATTTGTTGTTTGTTTCGTTTTGTTTTTGAGACGGAGTTTCGCTCTTGTTGCCCAGGCTGGAGTGCAATGCTGCGATCTCGGCTCGCCACAACCTCCGCCTCTTGGGTTCAGCCCAAAATCAAAATTATTTATCTCCCTTAGAGAGTGTGTGTGTGTGTGTGTGTGTGTGTGTTTAAACCTTGCAGTTCTAGCTCAAAGGATAACTTTCTTATATTTTGATTCAGCTCTTCAGATGAGCTTTTTAGTTTCTCTTTTCCAACTGGGATTTCTTGGTTCAAAGCACACCAGTTATTTCTAGTTGCAGAAGTCTTGGCTACGTGGCTACGTATCTTATTGGGGGTTACATATCTTATGTTTTTCATAGTTGGGCCCATTCAGTGTAACACTCTACTAGTTAGAACAGGAGCATTCGAGGACCATAAACAAGCATTCAACACCAGGGCTTGTGGTGAAAAGTGAAGCATGAGAAACTTTATCTTTCCTACAGATTGGGTTCAGTGATTACTGTTTTTTTTGTTTTGTTTTGTTTTTTTAACAAGGTAGCATTGTAGATTATAACATTATAGTATTAAGTACTGATTCAGAATCAGACAAATTGGGTGACATTTTATGGGTTTTTTTCATCTGTAAAATGAAGATAATCCAGCTGGTTGCAGTGGCTCTCACCTGTAATCCCAAGACTTTGGAAGGCCAAGGTAGGATGATCACTTGGACCCAGCAGTTCAAGACCTGGCTGGGCAATATAGCAAGACCCCATCTCTTAAAAAATTAATAAAATTTTGGCCGGGCGTGGTGGCTCAAGCCTGTAATCCCAGCACTTTGGGAGGCCGAGACGGGTGGATCACGAGGTCAGGAGATCGAGACCATCCTGCTGTGACTCACTCTTCTTCTGAAGTTGGACTTCAACCTCCTACAAAAAACTAGCTGGGCGAGGTGGCGGGCGCCTGTAGTCCCAGCTACTTGGGAGGCTGAGGCAGGAGAATGGCGTAAACCCGGGAGGCGGAGCTTGCAGTGAGCCGAGATCCGGCCACTGCACTCCAGCCTGGGCGATAGAGCGAGACTCCGTCTCAAAAAAAAAAAAAAAAAAAAAAAGAAATTAATAAAATTTTAAAATTTAAAAAATAAAATGAAAATAATCGTACCTCATGGGGTTGATTTTATAATTAAAATGATATGATATATAAAACCCTTATAAACATGTCTGATATAAGGTTTTCCAATAAAAAGTAAATAGATACAAGGTTTTCCAATAAATAATATTCCTATTAACATATAAATGTGTACTTGGATTTTATAGGCCTTCTATAGACTGAAATAGAGATTTTATTTTATTAATTTATTATTTTTTGAGACAGCGTCACCCCCTGTCACCCAGGCTGGAGTGCAGTAGCAAGATCATGGCTCACTGCAGTCTAAAGCAATCCTCCTGCAATCCTCCCACCTCAGCCTTCTGAGTAGCGGGTCTACAGCATGAGCCATCACACCCAGCTAATTTTTGTGTGTGTTTTTTTATTTTTTGTAGAGAGAGGGTTTTACCATGTTGCCCAGGCTGGTCTCAAACTCCTGGGCTCAAGCAATTCACCCACCTCGGCCCCCCAAAATGCTGGGATTACAGGCATGCACCACCACACCTGGCCCCAAAATAGAGATTTTTCTATGGTAATTTTGTTGCCCGGATTCATGGGAATTAGATAGATTTTCAGCTATTAATTCCAATAGTATTCCAACAGCACAGACTCCAGACTGAGTCCATACAACTTGTTTTCTTCCAAGTAGTCATCAATCTTTCATGGCCTGTCCTGGCCAAGTGAAATATAAGTACTTGAATGAGCTTCTTGTTGCTGACATTTAGAATTTCACGGCATTCGTCTGCACTTAATATCTGTCACTGGAAAGGCTGGCAGCATTGCAGTTGACTCCTCTTACTGCCAAGGTGTTAATGGTTTAAAAAGAAAAAAAAAAAAGAGAGGCTCTGCCAAGCTTGGTTAATTTAGATACACTCCCTAAAGGGGATAAGCCAAAAAGATCTGTGCCTCATGGTTTTGTTATAGTGCTGTGTGTATGCACAAGTCTTGAACATAAAACTTTGTGATCTTTATACATAACCAAATTAGTTAAGCAGAATTTTTTTTAACTGAACTCCTCCACCACCTTTAAGTGTTTTTTTTTATTTGTTTGTTTGTTTGTTTTACCAAAAACATTAAACCTAAATCTAATGAACGCCCTAGGATTTAGAGTCTAGAAACTATCAGTGTACAGGAAATACAGGAGGTATAAAATTATGCAAAACGATACCTAAGAGATACAATCTTCACAGTCCAGAATTCATGAATAGATACAGGACAAACATCCTAGTAAAGAGACAGCAATTTTAGGCCGGGTGCAGTGGCTTACACCTATAATCCCAGCACTATGGAAGGCCGAGGTGGGCGGATCACCTGAGGTCAGGAGTTCAAGACCAGCCTGACCAACATGGTGAAACCCCGTTTCTACTAAAAATACAAAATTACCCAGGTATGGTGGTGCATGCCTATAATCCCAGCTACTCAGGAGGCTGAGGCAGGAGAATCACCTGAACCGGGGAGGTGGAAGTTGCAGTGAGCTGAGATCATGCCATTGCACTCCAGTCTGGGCAACAAAAGCGAAACTCTGTCTCCAGAAAAAAAAAAAGAGGCAGCAATTTAAAAAATGAATGATTGGGCCAGGTACAGTGGCTCACACCTGTAATCCCAGCACTTTGGGAGGCCGAGGCAGGTGGATCACCTGAGATCAGGAGTTCAAGACCAGCCTGACCTACATGGCACGTGCATGTAGTCCCAGCTACTCAGGAAGCTGAAACAGAAGAATCACTTGAACCCGGGAAGCGGAGGTTGCAATGAGCCGAGATTGCACCACTGTACTCCAGCCTGGGTAACAGAGACTCCATCTCAAAAAAAAAAGCAAATTAATGGAACAAGTAAATTGTATGTTTTATATGATCTCATGTCTATAATAATATACTCGAAATATATAGAGATAGCAAAAAATAATTAGGATATTACAAAAATGTTAATGTTGATTATCTCTATGAGGAAGAATTATAGGATTATAGGTAATTTTACTTATTTTTTCTTTTTTCTTATTAATTTTCAAAAATTAATTACAATTGAATTTTCAAATCAGGAAATAAACTTTTTTTTAACTTAAAAAACTTTAAGCTAGACATGCCATGCTTTCTGTATGAAAATGACATCTCAGAACTTTCCTATATCGTTATAAAAGGGGTTATTTCCATGGCTGTGTTCCTCTATGTAATGTTAAAATGCTACTTAACTATTGAAATGCAAGTTTTTCACCAGCTGAATATAAAATCCCATTTCAATAGGACATTTTATTTAGACATAAAATTTCACAAGAACACAACCTGGAGCAGAATAGCTGTCTATTGAAAGAAGCGGCCAGGCGCGGTGGCTCACACTTGTAATCCCAGCACTTTGGGAGGCTGAAGCAGGCAGATCACTTGAGGTCAGGAGCTCGAGACCAGCCTGGCCAACATGGTGAAACCCCGGCTCTACTAAAAATAGAAAACTAGCCCAGCATAATGGTGCATGCCTGTAGTCCCCGCTACTCAGGAGGCTAAGGCACGCTTGAACCCGGGAGGCAGAGGCTGCAGTGAGCTGAGATCATGCCACTGCCCTCCAGCCTGGACCACAGAGTGAGACTGTCTCGAAAAAAAAGAAGAAGGAAAGAATGAAGCTGTTTAAATGTGTAACACAATAATAAACTTCTATGAAAATGTTTCTACAGGTATGCTGGTATCCTCCTGGGCATCACAAATACATTTGCCACTATTCCAGGAATGATTGGGCCCGTCATTGCTAAAAGTCTGACCCCTGATGTAAGTAGATAATTTGCTTGTAAACTGGAAAGGTTTTGGAGCTGCACATCTGTGTCAAAGTTCAGTGTATTTTAATTAAGTGTAAAATTCTAAATGTTCTTATGAAATTCTTTTTAGCAACAAAAAGCTAAATGCCTTAATGGATGGGAAAGTATATTTTCAAAGAACACTTTTTGGATTTTAGACAGAACAATAGAACTAAGACAAATGAAGACGTAGCTGAAACCACACACATAGTTAAAAGTTTTGATATTGGCGGGACGTGGTGGCTTATGCCTGTAATCCCAGCACTTTGGGAGGCCGAGGCAGGCAGATCACGAGGTCAGGAGTTCAACACCAGCCTCGCCAACATGGTGAAACCCCTTCTCTACTCAAAATACAAAAATTAGCCAGGTGTGGTGGCACGTGCCTGTAGTCCCCTACTCAGGAAGCTGAGGCGGGAGAATCCCTTGAACCTGGGAGGCGGAGGTTACAGTAAACCGAGACCATGCCATTGCACTCCAGCCTGGGTGACAGAGTGAGATCCCATCTCAGAAAAAGTTGTGATATTATACTAGACAAATAATTTTTGTTTTTGATTTGAACAAATAAAAATTGACAGTGTAAAATTATTCAAAAAGTAGGCCCATGAAGGCGAGGTATCAGGAAATCATGTGAGAATTAATGAGGAAAAGTTGAAATAACCGAGAATGTTTAGAGGACCAGAAAATTTGGGAAGACATAAAAGGTGTCTTCACATATTTGAAAGGCTACTACATGTAAGATGGAGACTTATTCTCAGCAGTTCCACAAAGACAGATTGAGAGAAGTTATAAAGAGACACTGGGAAAATTCTTTGTTCAAGGCTGTTACTTTATGGAATGCGCCACCTTAAGGGTTAGTAACCCCTGAAACAGTCAAACATTTATTCAACAGGCATTTCTTAGGTGCTTATTAATATGCTAGATACATTGTCAGGCACAGTGGCTCACACCTATAATCCCAGCACTTTGGGAGGCTGAGGCGGGCAGATCACCTGAGGTCAGGAGTGTGAGACCAGCCTGGCCAACATGGTGAAACCCCATCTCTACTAAAAATACAAAAAAGTAGCCGGACTTTGTGGCTTGCACCTATAATCCCAGCTACTCAGGGGGCTCAGGTAGAAGAATCGCTTGAACCTGGGAGGGGGAGGTTGCAGTGAGCTGAGATCATGCCATTGCATTCCAGCCTGGGTGACAAGAGCAAAACTCTGTCTCAAAATAAATAAATAAATAAGGCCTCAAAGGCCCCTTTCAACTTTGATTTTCTAACCTTCAAAAAAGGTATATAAGGTATTCTTTAAGAGGCTAACTCAAACCTCTGAAAGAGGTAATTTTCTCTTTTGTCTCTGTGATAAAATTAACGCCATGTGTAATCCTTAGAATTTCAGGACATACGGCCGGGCGCGGTGGTTCACGCCTGTAATCCCAGCACTTTGGGAGGCTGAGACGGGCAGATCACAGAGTCAGGAGATCAAGACCATCCTGGCCAACATGGTGAAACCCTGTCTCTACTAAAAATACAAAAATTAGCCGGGTGTGGTGGCAGGCTCCTGTAGTCCCAGCTACTCAGGAGGCTGAGGCATGAGAATTGCTCGAATCCAGGAGGTGGAGGTTGCAGTGAGCCGAGATCGCCACTGCACTCCAGTCTGACAACACAATGACACTCCTCAAAAAAAAAAAAAAGAATTCCAGGACATACTTACAGACTTTCTTATTACCAAATATACTGATTTCAGACATATATATGTTCCCCACAAATAGTGTTCCTATTTCTTCTCCACATCTACCGTTTCTAGTTCCTTAAGTGATGCAGTACCTCCCTGTTACTATTTCCTCTCACTTAATAAAAAGGAATGTTGTAGAAATGCTTTTTCTAAAGTTCTGTGTCTCAGTATAGACATGTCCAAAATGTTTAACATTATCCTTGTCCTCATGGAGTGGGGTGGCAACACCAGAACCTAAGTCAGCACACTACCATGTGTTAGTTTCACTTACTGATAATGCCAGCGCTTCTGCTAGGGAAATATGGATTCCTGATTAAAGTCTTTTATGTTTACAAGTGGGAATTGCGCTTGATTTGGGATATGTTATAGCATTTGTTTAATGCTGTTAAAAAGATATCACTGTTTTAGCTGGGTGTGGTTTGCACCTGTAGTCCCAGCTACTTAGAAGGCTAAAGCAGGAGTTTGAGGGGTTTGAGGCTGTAGTGAGCTATGATCACGCCTCTGCACTCCAGCCTTGGTGAGAGCAGGAGACCCTGTCTCAAAAAAATAAATAAAATAAAACTTATTTTATTTTATTTTATTTTATTTTCGAGATGGAGTTGCACTCTGTTACACAGTTTGGAGTACAGTGGTGCAGTCTCAGCTCACTGCAACCTCTGCCTCCCAAGTTCAAGCGATTCTCCTGCCTCAGCCTCCTGAGTAGCTGGGACTACAGGCACCCACCACCATGCCCGGCTAATTTTTGTTTTTGGTTTGTGTGTGTGTTTTTTGAGACGGAGTTTCACTCTTGTTGCCCAGGCTGGAGTGCAATGGCGCAATCTCAGCTCACCATAACCTCTGCCTCCTGGGTTCCAGCGATTCTCCTGCCTCAGCCTCCCAAATAGCTGGGATCACAGGCATGTGCCACCACACCCAGCTAATTTTGTATTTTTAATAGAGATGGAGCTTCTCCATGTTGGTCAGGCTGGTTTCGAACTCCCAACCTCAGGTGATCCGCCTGCCTCAGCCTCCCAAAGTGCTGGGATTACAGGACTGAGCCACCGCACCTGGCCAAAGAAAACTCTAAAGTTTATTATTTTAAAAAAGGAAAAGCACACACTTGCCTTCACAATTGTAATTTCTTTTTTTTTTTTTTTTGAGACGAAGTCTCACTTGTCCCCCAGGTTGGAGGGCAGTGGCGTGATCTCAGCTCACTGCAACCTTCGCCTCCCGGGTTCAAACGATTCTCCTGCCTCAGCCTCCCAAGTAGCTAGTACTACAGGCAAGTGCCACCACACCCAGCTAATTTTTGTATTTTTAATACAGGTGGGGTTTCACCATGTTGGCCAGGCTGGTCTCGAACTCCTGACCTCAAATGATCCACCTGCCTCAGCCTCTCAAAGTGCTGGGATATCAGGCGTGAGCCACCACACCTATCCTGTAATTTCTTACTTTATGGAATGAGCACTGCCTCAAAAACTTTGTGGCATGAGTCAGCATATAAATAAATAATGCAATAATTAAAATTCAAAGTGTGTCTGAGGTTCGATGTTGTTATAAACAAAACAGTATTCTCCAAAAACTGGTGGAATTTTTGTTAAAAAACAAACTAGGAGCTGTGTGAGACTTCTAGTACAATGATTGATTTTAAGTTCACTCATTGCCTTCAGATAACACTGAAGTATTATTTTATCCCAGAAACCACACAGGGCAGCTTTGTCTTAGTAATCCTAAGAAGCTGTTTCAAACATTTTTCTGGTATAAGATGTAATTATTGACTGATTGTTCAGCAGAATTTAAGATGAGTAATTAAGACTTTTTTTCACTAAAATGCATTCATCTCAGACAAGTATAACCACCACAGGGTGTTTCTTTCTGCATGTTTCTCCTGTTTTCCCAAATAAATGACCTCCTACTGGCTTCCCAGTGCCTTCTCTTTCACTTCCTCATTGCTAGTTCTACTGCTTGTTTGGTTTTGTTTGTTTTTTGAGACAGGGTCTCCATCGCCCAGACTAGAGTGCGGTGGTGCAATCATGGCTCACTGCAGCCTCAACCTCCCCAGGCTCAGGTGATCTTCTTACCTCAGCCTCCCAAGTAGCTAGGACTGCAGGTGTGCACCATCATGTCCGGCTAATTTTTCCATTTTTTGTAGAGATGGGGTTTCACCACCTCGCCTACGCTGGTCTCAAACTCCTGGGCTCAAGGTATCCACCTACCTCGGCCTCCCAAAGTGCTGGGATTACAGGCATCCACCATGCCTGGTCTACTTTGTTTGTTTGTTTGTTTGTTTGTTTGTTTGTTTTTTGTGAGACAGAGTCTCACTCTGTTGCCCAGGCTGGAGTGCAATGGCACAATCTCGGCTCACTGCAAACTCCACTTCCTGGGTTCACGCTTCTCCTGCCTTGGCCTCCCAGGTAGCTGGGATTACAGGGCAGGCCGGGGCGAAAGCACCCTGGCGTGGGGGGAGATTTTTGGTAGTGTTTGTAGTAAGACGGTGGTGGGGGTTACGGGCCTGGTTAGCCGAGAGAGTGGGGGGTTCGTCGAGGGGTCTCGCGTGATGTCGGTGATGCGTGCCACGTGCGGGCGCTGGTGCGCCAACAGTGCGTCGGGATTACAGGATGAGCCACTGCGCCGCAGGCTGGTTTTTTTTTTGTTGTTGTGTGTTTGTTGTTTTGAGAGCAGAGTTGCGGCGGTCTTGTTCCGCCGAAGCTGAGTGCGGAAGTGCACGTGAGAGGCTGCAGCTCACCGCAACCTGCCGCGCTTGGGTTCAGAGCGGAATGGTCTCGTGCCTCAGCGGGCTCCTGAGGTAACTGGGTTAGACGAGGGCGCGGGGCTGGCTACCCGACACCGCTAGATGTTTGTCAATTTTTAGTAGAGACGAGGGAGGGGGCGTCACATGTTGGCGCGACGATGGCCTTGACTCGGCGTGAGCCTCGAGGGTGATCCCAGGGCGCAGGCTTGCTGCCGGCAAGTGGCGAGGGGAGGGTTAGGGCAGGCAGGTGGAGGCCGACGAGCACCCACGCCGAGTTGTGTTTTTTTTTGTTTGTTTTTTTTGTGTTGTTTGGAGGGATGGAGTGCTCGCTCTGTTGCGCGCGGGAGGGGCGTGGAGGGTGGCGCGAGTGGTGGCAATTCGGTCGGCTCGATCTGCAAGCGTCCGGGCCTGGCCGCGGGTTCACGGCCGGATTCGTCGGCTGCGCGGTCGAGCTCTGCGAGTAGCTGGAGCTGCAGGGGGGGGCCGCCGACGCATGCCCCGGGCTCGGGTTTTTGGGTAGTGAGGTTGGTGTGGGAGATGATAGAGAGAGACAGGGTGTTGCCACCGTGTTAGCCGACGGATCGGGTCCTCGATGGTGACCGTCGTGATCCACCCACCTTGGCCTCTCCGAGAGTGCTGGGGATTGACAGCGAGGGGAGCGCACGAGGCGGCGGCCGGGCGGCGGGTGTGTGGGTGGTGTGTGTGTGTGTGTGTGTTTTAATGCTGCAAATATAGTCACCACTCTGGTTAGACTGAAATTGAAAAAATCCAAAAAATGGTTGTTAAAGGTAGTCACATGACCCAGAAATTTGGATAACTGTCTGATATTTTTATGCCACAGGTTTGGATTATACACTGGACAGTTGTCTTACTGACAGATCCCATGTTATATCCTGCTTTATGTGCCATTCAAGATCTTTTATACTTGCCAGGCCTCTCTCTGATATCGCAGATCCTCAGAGCTGAACTTGAGTTCATCTTAACCATATTTACTTGATCCACCTGACACCTTTCACCTAAGACCCTGGGAGACCGTGCACAGGCTAAAACTTTCTTAGTTTTAGTGTTAGTCAGGCATGATTCGGGAACATACCAGTATACTTTTTATTGAAGTATATCTATCTATCTTCAGTAAACTTTTTATTGAAGTATAACTTTTTTTAAATGCACAAATCTAGGCCAGACGTGGTGGCTCACACCTGTAATACCATCACTGTGGGAGGCTGAGACGAGCAGACCACTTGAGCCCAGGAGTTCAAGACCAGCCTGGGAAACATGGCAAAACCCCATCTCCACTAAAAAAAAAAATTAAAATTAAAAAAGCAAAGAAAATTAGCCAGGCATGGTAGCATGCACCTTTAATCCCAGATCCTTGGAAAGCTGAGTTGGGAGAACCGCCTCAGCCCAGAAAGTGGAGGCTGCAGTGAGCCGAGATTGCGCCACTGCATTCCAGCCTGGGTGACAGAGTGAGACTCTGTCTCAAAAATAAAAACAAAAATAAATAAATGCACAAATCTAAAGTGTACAGCTAGATGAATTTCCACAAAGTTAATACAGCTGTGTAACCAGCACCCAATCAAGAAACAGAGTATTACCTCCCTCAGTAAGATCCCAGGTACCACTTCCTGCTATTCTTTCTTCACGCCCAGCAAGTGGAACCACTCTCCCAACTTTTAACCCCATAGATTAGTATGGTCTGACTTTGAGCTTTATATAAACAGAATCATTTAGTATGTACCCTTTTTGTCTGGCTTCTTTTGCTTCACATTTTGTTTGTGAGCTGTATTTATGATGTTGTAGCCCATTCTCATTGCTGTACCATATTCCATTGAACAACTATACCACTGTCCTACTGCTGGTGGACATTTGGGTTGTTTCAGGGATGGGGCTTTTATGAATAATGTGGCTGTTTTAACAGTCTTGTGACATCATCTTTTTAATGAAGTGAACTACAAACAAAATTTTATTTCACTTGCATTTTTTTCTTTCTGTACAGAACACTGTTGGAGAATGGCAAACCGTGTTCTATATTGCTGCTGCTATTAACGTTTTTGGTGCCATTTTCTTTACACTATTCGCCAAAGGTGAAGTACAAAACTGGGCCCTCGATCACCATGGACACAGACACTGAAGGAACCAATAAATAATCCTGCCTCTATTAATGTATTTTTATTTATCATGTAACCTCAAAGTGCCTTCGGTATTGTGTAAGCATTCTATGTCTTTTTAATTGTACTTGTATTAGATTTTTAAGGCCTGTAATCATGAAGTATCACTAGTTGCCAGATTAATAAAATGAACCGTGTTTAATTGTGAATAATATCTATGCTAGGACTTCTACTTTAGGTTCACATACCTGCCTGCAAGTCGGGCAACATGAAGTAGGAGAGTTCCGTTGATTTTTTAGGGCCATACTTAAGGGAATGAGCTGAAACAGAGCTCTGAATACCTTTGCTTAATTAAACTAGATGATAATTCTCAGGTATTGATAAACACCTGTTGTTCACTTTCCTCATAAAAATTGTCAGGTCTCTCTGACACTTAGATCTCAAACTTTAGCATCTCCGTGGAGCTGCCATCCACTGTATAATTTGGCCTGGCAACGAGACTGAGGGGAGTGTACCCAGGCAGCTGCCAGGCACTCCCTCCCTGGCTTCAGGGTCAGAGTGCTCAGCATTTATCAGAGGCAGCATCCAAGCCCAGAGCCAGTGTCGACTCTTCGGCTGGTGCCTTTCCTCTGAGGGGCTATTAATGTGTAGATAAAGCCCTGAGTAGGCAGGAGCAGTGAGATCCACTGCTGTGGTCTTGATACATCCTCAGACTTTCCCTTCCCAGCACAGAGGAATATCGGCTGGCATGCAACCTGCAAAAGAAAAGTGCGAAGCGGCCGGGCATGGTGGCTCACGCCTGTAATCCCAATACTTTGGGAAGCCGAGGTGGTCGAATCACAAGATCAGGAGTTCAAGACCAGCCTGGCCAGCATGGTGAAACCCCGTCTCTACTAAAAATACAAACAATTAGCTGGGCGTGGTTGTGGGCGCCTGTAATCCCAGATACTCAGGAGGCTGAGGTAGGAGAATCACTTGAACCCAGGAGGTGGAGGTTGCAGTGAGCCAAGGTCGCACCACTGCACTCCAGCCTGGGCGATGGAACAAGACTCCATCTCAAAAAAAAAAATAAAAAAGAAAAGTGCGATGCCCAGTCCATCACAAATAAGATCATCCTAGTTTAAATCTACTCTCACATGGACCACAGTATACATTTCTAAGTGCTGTGTTTTGTTTGTTTGTATTTTGTAGAGATGGGGTCTTGTTTTGTTGCCCAGGCTGGTTTTGAACTCCTGGCTTCAAGCGATCCTCCTGCCTCGGCCTCACAAAGTGTTGAGACTACAGGCATGAGCCACTGTGCCCAGCCTGTTCTGTGTTTTTTAAGCTGCAGGAGAATTTTTTTAAAAACTAATTCTCACTGTTTGTTCAGTCTGTCTTCATCGAAGTTTGTGGTTGCAGTTTAAAGTTAAAGTGACTTTTAAAGGCCACATCACCTGAGACTAGGGTAATCATCTTTACTTCAGGTTCCTGAAATCATATTTTTCCAGTGGACCATCCTCCAGTGGTTGTGGTTGTTGAGCATGCTTTCAGAGCACCTATGTGGCTTAAAACTTCGCTTATGTTTTCTGTTCAACACTACCTGTAATATTTTAAAACTGATTAATGTGATGTGAATACATTTATGTAAATTTATGTTTAAATTTGTAAATAGCTTTAAATTGCTATGGCAATGTTTCCTTTATAAATCATCAAAATAAACCTTTGTGAATTGATTTTTGGATCTGACAGTTCTGTGACATTTCCTAGTGTGCACTGTGACTCTTTGACATCTTTTCTGCATCCTGCTTGAGCCATCGTCTTCTCTACACACATTTCTGCTACCACAAAGCCAAGGAACTTGGGCCTCCTAAGGGATACTGCATCAGAAATCTCTGTTGCCGTCAACCTACCCTTCCTAGCTCTGAATAGGGTCAAACCTTCTTGCTAAAGCATATGCCCACGCTACACTGATTCTCTCTCTCCCACCTCCTCTAAGGACTTCCTTCAGTAATTCTTCTTTTTATAAATAATTGAGACAGAGTCTTGCTTTGTTGCCCAAGCTGAGCTCAAGCGATCCTCCTGTCTCAGCCTCCCAAGTAGCTGGCATTACACAGGCATGTGCTATCACACCCAGTTAGTAGCTCCTCTTTCATTTACTTCTTCAGTCTCTCCCCTTGTTCTTTTCCTTTTGTCTCAGATATACACACGTCTTCTCTAGTCCTTAAATAAAAATACAGACATCTCCTGGGGACATTAAATCACAAGTGTACAGAATATCTCTAATACTCAAGAAACTGGAAAACAGTGTGTGATTTTATAGATAGATATAGATATGGATTTTCATCCATGGTTCCATGGTTCCTGACTCATAACTCCCATAGCTCTTGTTATGTTGGGCGCCTTTAGGCCTCAGAAGCAACCTCAGGAAACAGAATCTCTTTGATCCTCTCCTGCCCTCCCTCCACCTGCTGCTTTTTCTCCTAAGGCAGGAATCTTCCCCCACCATTCTGTCTTGGAACTGGTCATAAAGAAATTCTGTGGCCAGTCACAGTGGCTTACGCCTGTAATCCCAGCACTTTCGGAGGCCGAGGTGGGAGGATCACAAGGTCAGGAGTTCGAGACCAGCCTGGCCAATATGGTGAAACCCCATCTCTACTAAAAATACAAAAAAGAGCCAGGCGTGGTGGCGGGCGCCTGTGGTCCCAGCTACTCGGGAGGCTGAGGCAGGAGAATCACTTGAACCTGGGAGGCGGAGGTTACAGTGAGCCGAGATTGCACCACTGCACTCCAGCCTGGGTGACAGAGCAAGACTCTGTCTCAAAAAAAAAAAAAAAGAAAAAAAGAAAAAGAAATTCTGTGGCCTACCCTGTTGGACTATAGGTCATAAGACCCCATGCCCACGTTTAAGAAGAGGTCCTCTCCATATCCTGGAGGAAGGAATGCCGCACAGAGAGGCCAAGAAGAATCTGGACAGGTCTTGCTGGGTTTCCCTGAGTCTATTAGTGTTAGATCACACCCTTTCTGTCCAATCACATTTCTTCCTGGTTGTTAATCATGACTATCCAATGAAGTCTCCATAAAAGGCCTAATAAGACAGGGTTTGGGAAGCCTCCTGATAGCTGAACACATGGAGGTTCCTGGAGGGTGGCACGCCCAGAGAGGGCCTGGAAGTTCCTCATCCCTTTCCCCAGATATTGTCCTATGCGTCTCTTCATCTGTGTCCTTTGTAATATCCTTTACAATAAATGATAAACATAAATGTTTCCCTGAGTTCTCCGAACCACTCTAGCAAATTGATTGAACCAAAAGAGGTGGTTGTGAAAACCTCAACTTGAAGCCAGCAAGTCACAAGTTCTAGAAACCTAGACTTGGGACTGGGGTCTGCAGTGGTGGGCAATCTTGGGGACTGGGCCTTCCACCTGTGGGATCTGATGCTACCTCCAGGTAGACGGTGTCAGCACTGAATTGGGAGACACCCAGCTGGTGTCTGTTGCAGAACTGATTGCTTAATTGGTGTGTGAGGAAAAACCCACACCCTTTTAATCACAGAAGTCTTCTGTGTTTATTGTTGTTGAACGAGAGATTAGAAAAAAACACATTTGGGCCGGGCGTGGTGGTTCACGCCTGTAATCCCAGCACTTTGGGAAACCGAGGTGGGTGGATCACAAGATCAGGAGATCAAGACCATCCTGACTAACACAGTGAAACCCCGCCTCTACTAAAAATACAAAAAAATTAGCTGGGCATCGTGACAGGTGCCTGTAGCTCACCTACTCGGGAGGCTGAGGCAGGAGAATGGCATGAACCTGGGAGGTGGAGCTTGCTGTGAGCCGAGATCGTGCCACTGCACTCCAGCCTGGGCAACAGAGTGAGACTCTGTCTCAAAAAAAAAAAAGAAAGAAAGAAAGAAAAAAGAAAAAAACACATTTGGCCCACCGCAGTGGCTCACGCCTGTAATCCCAGCACTTTGGAAGGCTGAGGCAGGCAGATCACCAGAGGTCAGAAGTTCAAGACCAGCCTGATCAACATGGAGAAACCCCGTCTCTACTAAAAATGCAAAATTAGCTGGGCATGGTGGCGCATGTCTGTAATCCCAGCTACACAAGAGGCTGAGGCAGGAGAATCGCTTGAACCCGGGAGGCAGAGGTTGTGGTGAGCCAAGATCACACAATTGCACTCCAGCCTGGGCAACAAGAGCGAATCTCGGTCTCAAAAAAAAAAAAAAAAGAAAGAAAACACAGTTTGAGTGGATTTTTCCACAAACAATGGTTACCTCTGTAGAGAGAAAATCGGCAACTAGAGATAGGAAGGGGAATTAATTTTCACTTTACCAAATGTGGCAGTATGACCTATTCAAATAAATATATTGTTTTATTTATTTATTTATTTCAGACGGAGTCTTGCTCTGTTGCAGGCTGGAGTGCAGTGGCACAATCTCGGCTCACTGCAACCTCCACCTCCCAGGTTCAGCGATTCCCCTGCCTCGGCCTCCTGAGTAGCTGGGACTGAAGGCACGCACCACCATGCCCGGCTAATTTTTGTATTTGTAGTAGAGATGGGGTTTCACCATGTTTGCCAGGCTGGTCTCAAACTCCTGACCTTGTGATTCGCCCACCTCGGCCTCCCAAAGTGTTGAGATTACCGTGCCTGGCCAAATAATATTGTTTTAAAAACATTGCCCAAGCTGTTGTGTAATCACCGCTAGATTTTCAGCTGCCTGCTGGACATTCCCAGCTGGCTAGTCTTGCCTGCACCTGAGACTATTTAAATCCAACCTCACTCTCCCACCCCCATTCTAAATTAAACCAGCTGTTACTGCCACCTTCTTATTTCTCTTAAAAGTACATTTCCACAGTCACTGAGGCTTGGCCCAAAGTCGTTTTTGTTCCTCCTCCCTAGCCTCTCACCAAACCCCCTACTCTGTGTTAAAACAACCACCTGCTGACCGGGCGCGGTGGCTCACACCTGTAATCCCAGCACTTTGGGAGGCCGAGGCGGGCAGATAGCCTGAGGTCAAGAGTTTGAGACCAGTCTGGCTAACATGGTGAAACCCCTTCTCTACTAAAAATACAAAAAAATTAGCCGGGCATGGTGGCGCATGCCTTTAGTCCTACAAAATACAAAAAATTAGCTGGACATGGTGGTGCAGACCTGCAGTTCCCAGCTACTCGGGAGGCTGAGGCAGGAGAATCTCTTCCACCCGGGAGATGGAGGTTGCAGTGAGCCAGGATCATGCCACTGCACTCCAGCCTGGGTGACAGAAGGAGACCCCGTCAAAAAACAAAAACAAAAGCAGCAACAACAACAACAAAAACCCCACCTGCCTCTTCCATTTCAGTTTTTTCACGTCTCTGGAATTTTTTCTTAGTTTTGAAACAGAGTATCACTCTGTCACCCAGGCTAGAGGGCATGGCGCGATCACAGCTCGCTGCAGCCTCTACCTCGCAGGCTCAAGAGAGCCTCCCACTTCAGCCTCCAGACTAGCTGGTACTACAGGTCTGCACCACCATGCCCAGATAATTTTTGTATTTTGTAGAGATGGGCTTTCACTATGTTGTCCAGTCTAGTCTCCTGGGTTCAAGTGATCCTCCCGCCTCAGCCTTTCAAAGTGCTGGTATTACAGGTGTGAGCCACTATGTTCGGCCTGGAATTTTTTGTTGTTGTTGTTAATCCTCCTACCAGGCCAGGCACAGTGCCTCACATCTGTAATCCCAGTACTTTGGAAGGTCAAGGTGAGTAGATGGCTTGAGCCTGGGAGTTTGAGACCAGCTTGGGCAACATGGTGAAACCTGTTCTCTACAAAAAATACAAAAAATTAGCTGGGAATGGTGGTGCATACCTGTAGCTCCAGCTATTCAGGAGGCTGAGTTGGGAGAATCACTTGAGCCCAGGAGGTCAAGGCTGCAGTGAGCTGAGATCTCACTGCACTTCAGCCTGAGTGACAGAGTGAGAGTCTTTCTCAAACAAAACAAAACAAAACAAAACAAAATCCTCTGTCATCTCCTAAGTAAGAGCCTAGTGGCTTTTGTTTCCACCTAGAATAGAAAAGTTAAGTGGTATCACTGCCTTTAGTCTTGCCCTCTTCCATCCCAGCTTCCCACCAGTGTTGAGTTCATCATCCCAATACAACTAATCTCTCTGATCAAGGTGCTCCCCCATGCTGAGCCCCATGGTGAGTCCCATGGCTTCCCTGGGCCTGCCCAGTAAACTCTCCCACCCAGCAGCTGTGCCCTCCTCACCCCTAAGTTCAGCCTACCCTACCCTTATCTTATGGTGAGAACAATGCCTTGTTGCAGTGATCTGGCTGCTTCACTCCCCATGCCTGCTCTCCATCTTCCCTTTCCTCTTCATACCTTTATTAATTTCCTTCCTTGGGGCTGGAACTTCTCTCTTCAACCTTGCCACCTCCTTCATGACCCCTAATTTCTCCCACCCTCCCTGATCTAGATGTGGTGTCTCCCTTTCACCTGCTAAAGTGCCACATTATTTATTTATTTTTGGGTTTTCTTTTATTTTAATCTTGAGGGTTTAGGCTCGGTTATGTGGAAGAGAGAATTTCTTCATTCATTCAGCGAATACTAAGTATCTACTCTTTGCTAGGCAACAAGGATACAAAGATGCATCTGACACAGCCCTTTCCCTCCCTGGAGCTCCTTCTGACCCCTTGATCCCCTTCCTCATTTTTTTTTTTTTTTTAAGACAGAGTCTTGCTCTGTTGCCCAGGCTGAAGTGCAATGGCAC